GCCAGCAACCAGGTATATGCCCTTGACTGGAATCGAACCCGGGACCCTTCAGTCCACAGGCCAACACTCTATCCACTGAGCTAAACTGGTTTCAGCTCTCCGCACTTTTTAACTATTTGTTACATTTTAAATTTAGCAACAACAAAAACTTCATGGTTAATTTTGATGCACACTTTCAGTTACTTGCTGATTTTAAGAGAACCCAATCTTTAATAACCTAAGTTTCAAATGCTGCCATTTGAACAGTTGTGGTGTGCCCTTTGTAACTTAATAAGGATAAAACTTTTATTTATTTATTTATTTATTTATTTATTTATTTATTTTAAGTATATTTTATTGATTTCTTACAGAGAGGAAGAGAGAGGGATAGAGAGTTAGGAACATCGATGAGAGAGAATCATTGGTCAGCTGCCTCTTGCACACTCCCTACTGGGGATGTGCCCGCAACCAAGGTACAAGCTCTTGACCGGAATCGAACCTGGGACCCTTCAATCCGCAGGCTGACGCTCTATCCACTGAGCCAAACTCGTTTCGGCAATAAGGATAGAACTTTTAAACAGAATTTACTCTACAAACAGTGAGGAAGAAAGTGTACACAGCAGTCCAAGTGGACTGGAATGGGGAGCCAGCCAAGGGTGATGATAAGGACCGATGAGTTCTTTAGGCCCCAAGGATATGTGTGTGGTGGCCTTGGTCCATGCATATCCCTCTCTCTCTCTCTCTCTCTCTCTCTCTCTCTCTCTCAGACTTTACAGCAACCTCTAAATTAGTAAATATCAACATCTATCCTGTCTGCTTCCCATAGCTCAAAGATATACCTCACTTTCCACGGGGTGATCCCAGGAATGTTAGGCTCCTCGGGTGGCATTTCCCATCCATTGCTTCCAACCAGATGGTGTTCCTCATGGTTCCCCAAACATCCCCATAGGTTAGTGGAAGTTCTGCCTTCCTCTTTGCTCAGTTCTAAGGGTATCTCTTTCATAGGCTTTCTGTAATCCCCCACCCTCAGGATTAAACACCCACTCACTATGCAATCTTTGCACGACTCTCTTAAATGTTTCCTGTAGAGCCCACCTATCCCCAATCTACTGGGAATCTTGTCTTCTCCCCAAATGTAGCCAAAAATAGCAAAAGTTTAGTGTTCCTCAAGGACAGAGACTTTGCTTGTAATTCTCTGTGCCTGACTTCTCCTAGGGAGTCGAGAACACAGCAGGTGCTCAATGAGAAGTTGACTGGACTAAATTAAGTGGTCACTTTTGTGCTTTTACAGTTGGACTCGACACAGGATCTTAAACTTATACTATAACACACTTTGTTATAAAAAATAAAATAGAATTAAAGTCCACTCGACAAACAAGCACTGTGGGAAGCAGTGCTGTTAGCTGCTGCTAAGCTGACCTTTGTAACTCACTCAACAGACTTGGGTAGTGAGGATGACTCACCCATAACTGACATGAGAATGACCAGTCTCTTCTTGAGAGTTTTCTTTGGAGGAATATGGCAGAACAGACTATAGAACTAAAAACTTACATGGGACATATGAGCTTTTCCTGTTAAGGTTAGGAGGAAAAGCTGGAGGCAGACATCTTGTCTTCTTTCTGCCAAAGGAATGGTGGTTTTTCAAACCTTATTCAATGGAATAGCCAAAGAAGCCATGGCTGAGGATGAGAGAGTCTGAGCTTCAATTAAAACAGCCTTTATTCTTTTATATGTTGAAGGTTTCAAGTAAGATTTCAACCTGAAACATGAGTTTTGCTGCCTAAAAATGTCTGGGAAACCACAGTTTAAAAAAATTCTACGACACCCTTCCCCAGGAAGTGAAGAGAGCCTGTAAGGCAAAGCGGGCTCATGGGGAAGCCATACCTGGCAGTGGCCCCAGGTGAGAGCCAACCACTTATCCAAACTCCAAAGGAGGACAGGGAAACGGAGTTTGGCTTCAGCCTCCACAGCAGGGCCACACACCGTGGTCCACCCCAGAGAACAGAACCCCTTAGACTTCTGTGCATGTGGAGAAAGTGAGCAGCCTGGCTGAGGTAGGAACTGCAAGGACAGGTCCTGAGGTGGTCAGTCACCAGCCACCATCTCCAGGAAGCCTTGCTACAACTTCCCAGGCAAAGTACAGCATCTCTCGTAAGTCTGGATACTCCCTGCTACCTCAGTGCCTGCTCAGAAGCTATCCTTGTTGTTGTTGGGGATGACTTCAACTTTCAGTAGAGACTTTATCTCATTACTTAGTGTGGGAGGCCAAGCAGATGTGGCTATAAGCCTGACCCCACAATGATCTCAGCAAGGATGCTCAACCCTGCCTCCCACAAATGTATGTGACTCCCAGCTGAACAAGCAAGTACAGACAGAGCGGTGAGATCTCCTCCTCCTACAAGGTCCTAAGACCTGAGCCCATGATCTGGGGATGGCTGCTAGGGGAGGCTAAGGGGGACATCTTTCATTTCAAAGCAGCCACATCTCTACAGGCATGTGACAACCTTATTCTCCTCAACTGTCCTAATGCCCTCAGAGTGGTGAACCAGCAGTACTGCAGCTATGATCACATCACCCTTTGTTGCTGACAATCACCACAGTGTTAATCACAAATTCAGTTCATATTTTGAGCAAGAGCTCAAAGTCGTCTTCTAAAATGTGGGTGCTGAGGAAAGGCTGGTAGCAAGTGCTGCCTGCCTAGCTCCAAGGGATGGGAGGGATGACAGGTTATTTATAGTGTGTGCTGATGTGCAGCCTTCAATTTGAAAACATTCTCCCACCTCCAGGAGGTAACACCCTATCTGAAAGAGCAGTGGTGTAGGATTCAGAAAGACCTGAGTTCAGATCCTAACTCTGATACTTATTAGGCTTGGCTTTTGGCAAGTCAATTAAACTCCTGGAACCCTGATCTCCTAAATATTCCTCAAATCTGTGTAATGGCTGGAACTTTCTGTGTAGCACGGGTAAACAGGAGAACATGCGGGAGAGGCTCTGCGCCTCCCCGCCTCCTGCCTTTCAGTTCCCAAACAGCAGCACGTCCTCCAGGCCACTCGTCCCTGGTCCCTGGGATTCCCTCCACATTTTATTTTGGCTCTTCCTGCTAGCACTTCTCCAACAGTGCCCTAATTTCACAGTCCCCTTTGCATGGCCAGCTCTGTGAATAAGGGGTTGGCTGTTAGCTGCCCACCGTGATGAGCGCCATGCCTGGAACACACAATTGGTATTAGCTGATGGGAAGAACAAAGGCCTCCATTTTTTCTGAGGTAGAGAGAAAGGAAAGAAGCTACAGAAAAATAGAGGTGGTTCTTGGAGCTGAAATTTGGAGCCAGTTGCTCCTCGACTGCTTCTGTCTGCCTCCTCCTTGTGTCTGCTCCACAGGAGACTGGGCCAGGGCTGTAAGTGGGGGAAGTCTTTTTATTTTTTAAGAACAAACGCAAATACAACTGTATGTTTATGTGTATGATATGTATAAAGCAATGGCAAGACTGTTTCCATTGAAGATTCTTCAATCACCAAGTGAGAGAAGGAGTGCTTCCAGCACCCCACGGGACCCCTTTTGAACAGGAGATTGTCATGAATCACTTATAGGGTTTTCAGTTTAGGGCTGTGTGCCCTGGAGAGTCCACAGGAACCCCAAAGACAGCAGAGAAATAGAGCAATTTATAACATCTCAGTTGGAAACACAAAATTGATGTCGGTACACTTCTTTGTACACCATTAATCCGTTAGCACAGAGAAACTAGAAAAAGTCAGAACTTGAGCAAATACTGAGGAAGTTACATCCACATAGAGAGGAATGCAGCTTTGGTTAAAAAGCAGGATCTAAGAAGTTATCTTCCGACTGCTCAGCCAGTGCAGCTAAAAGCCAGCCACCATCAGCCACACGTGCGAGCGAGCCAGCATGCTGCCCACTGCAGAGGGCACACCAAATGCTCCTTCCTGGTAACTAGCACTATTCCACAGCCAGTCTTGTTTGCATAAAAAAAGTTGGAGGACTTTGGGAAGGGTCCCAGTGTTCACCACTCAGTGCTGTGAAAGTACATGCTATTCTTTAGGTTTACAATGAAAACACGAATTTATTTAATGTGTGGGGGAAAAAACAGGACAGAACCAAAAATGGCATGTGGGGAAGGCAACAATATGAGCTACAAATTCATTTTTACAATAAAAATTCCTCCATATAAATTTTAATCTCTGCATTTCTAAAATGGAATTATGGGGGGTAGGAAACGTCTCACATGCTTTACTGCCAATTTTGGAAGGAAGAATATGTATTTAAAACATTGTCCATGCCTCCAATTTTGCTATGAAATATATTTTTAAGGGACAGAAATTGAGGCACGTGTAAAAACATTTTACAGTAAACTCAATTATAAATGGAACTGCAAATATAGACTTGATAGAAGCTTTCCCATTTTTAAGACATGTGCTTTGTTTTTTTTAAGGTCTCACCTTAAATTTCTTTTTTAACTTAGAAAACAATATTAAGCATTGTGGAAGAAATCTGGCAGAAAATATCTCTGTGTTGGAAGAACACATAAAAAAATAAGAATATGAATATTTTCGAAAATACATCAAAAGTACAAATTAATTCCTATTTTAATAATTTTACTATTTTATTAAAAGTAATTTCATGATGACCACTGTGGAAATGATCCTTGTTTATAATTTCCACACCAACTTTGTGTCCCTGGATTTTTTTTTCTCTCTCCTAGCCCAGGGCTGCTTGGTGGATATTTGAAGGTTAAAAAAAAAAATCAGGTTTTTGTGCTGAAAAGTTATCAAGACCAGCTCTCTGCTGCATTTGCATTGTTATTAGGGACACACACGCGCACACATACTGGGCTTAATGTGAGGCTAGTTCAGAAACAGAGAGATTAGACACAAAGAAATGTAAACAGCTCTCACATGCGAGGAAACTAGGTTACGAGAATCCCAGCACCAGGCATTCACCAGTCACCATGGAAAACAGGAAGTGAGATGCATAGCAACCACAAGCCAAAAAGCAGGAAAGCGCATACCTTTAGCTTGGAATGAAAATCACGAGATTTCCTTCTGGCAAGAACCTGAATGTGACTAGACACCTGCAGGGTAGGGGAAGGGAGGAAAACAAAGGAAAAGCCTGTAACCATGGAGATGAAAAGCCCCCTACAACTGGGCAAGCCAGACGTACCTTAATGGCGGCTTGAATTTCTCGAACTTTCTTTCTTGCTAAGACCTGTATATGACTAGACACCTACATTGTTCGGGTTTATGAAGGGAAACAAAACAAAACAAAACAAAAAACAAAACAAAAAAAGGAAATCAAATATAAAATTGCTACTCCTTAGGAGGGTTTGGGGTGGGGTGGGGTGGGGTGGGGGGGAGGTTATTTGCATCGCAACAAAGCTCTGCAGTTAGGAATACACAGTCCCAGCCAGACACCAAGCCCCCAGCGCTGCTCTCAGCTTTTCAGACTGGGTCATCACTGCAGTGACTTGATTCAGGAGGAAAGTTCAGGCTAATCTAGTGTTTTTCTCACCCGGGAGCAATCACGAACACGGGATGAGAGGGGGAGAGTGGGGTTGTTTTCGTTATAAAATTAATAAGGCGGGGGTAGAGGTAAATGAAAATATTTATAGCTTCTCAGTATAGGGAGGGAAAATCCCTTTTTTCTCAATTTAGAAGAGACGATCCATAAATTAATTAGCACATTCTGCACAATCAAAAAGCTGAAGCTGTTGGTTGTATTCTGATCTCATTAAGAGCTCTGGATTCTGTAGCAAATGTTAAAATAATACTGACATGTAAATTAGATCTCAAAGTGAAATGGAAAGACCCAGTTAGCAGAGCATTTCCCCCCTTATAAGTATCTTTAATCCTTCCACTCTTTTGGGTATTGACTGGGCGCCAAGTGGATTTGCATATTATTACAAAGCGCAAAGTGTGAATACAGCCAGCCAGCCACCCTGTTAAAAATCTGGGTTGAAAACCACACGGATTTGCTGAACAACAAATTCACATTGGAGAGGTATCACCAACTGCTGCCTCAAAACATCCCAGGATGCTGGGGTGTGGAAACCAAGCCAAGCCTGGCTTCTGAGACACAATGATTCCACTGGGTAAACAAATTTGCATCTCTTTCCCTGGGATTTGGTTAAATTTAGAATAGTCCCCCAGTGAAGGGGTTGGGCTCATGACCAGAGCCCACGGACCAGCAGACTGCCCTGGGCCCAGACCCAGCACGTTCCGCATGCTGGGAATTAGATCTTGTCTCTTTCAAAATTTTAGAACCTCCAATGTAATAGTTCAGCGACTCAGACTATGAGACAATGACTTTATTTTAAACACTCTAGCAACTCTTAAAAAAAAAAACAAAAAACAAACAAACAGGATTTATGATAATACATGATCCTTATATCTTTAACTTTGTCTTTGAGTTTAAATTATTCATTTTTTTTTCAATTTTTGCCTTAAAAAAAATTACAGAGAAGCAAGAACTCCCCCATCCTCCTCACACCTCCATCCGGCTCCTGCTTTTATTTATTTCCAACCGAATTTTGGTCTGATGTGATTCTCAGACTTAATGAGGACCACTGCACATTGTCAGGGGAACATCTACAGAACAGACAATGTCCTGCGCCTGAGCACTGGCAGGAGGCCACTTCCCTCTGTGCTGACTCAGCAGCCAGGCTCTGGCTGGGGCACATGTAGCATTCCTGGGGAAAAGCTCTCCCCCATCATAAACACTCATGAAAACAACTCGTCACTGAGCAGAGGACTGGAAACTGCTGCTCACGCTTAATGAGACCACAGTTGAGCTTGCATTCTGGTTTCATGATAATTTTTAAAATCCACAGACCCATCAGCATAGGTCAACATTAAAAAATAATTTTTTATTTATTTATTTATTTTTTTTTTACTGTTAACAGCTCACCCATGAGATGTTTGATCCCCCCTTCCCCCGCCCTTTCCTTTTTCTTTCTTTTCGTTTTTAGTTAAACAGGAATTTCTCATCCATTCTAGTTTTGAACTGGGTCAGAGATTTGGGCTGCTTTACATCAGACAAAAAAGAGAGCCAGAGCCTTGACAAAGGGCAGAGGAAATGCCTGACACTGCTCTGCACAAATATATTTACGTTGTAACTTCATTTCAGTCACAGCAGCTACTAACACAAAAGCCATAGCTTAAGGAGCAACGGTTCCCTGGACGCACATCATTCAGTATCATATTCAGGCCAATACTCACGGCTGCTAGTGTTACTTTTTCATTGAAATGATGACTAATATTGTAGTTGTTCCAGGATTTCACAATGCACAAAAATCTCAAAATTTCATGGCTTGCAAGTATATTTGCACCTGCAGCAAATATGTAGTGTTTGCAGATGCATCGTTTGGAAAAGAAATATAACTTTTAAAATAACAGTGCAGGAGCAGTTTTATATACTGTCCTTAGTAAAACTTTCCCATATGTAAAAAAAGGGCTCTTAAGACCACATAGTCAAGGGTCACTGAAATGATGAACAGTGAAAACTGAGCCAATTTAAAACACCAATTTAAACATCACTGACGTCCTTACAGGGAACTCAAAATGGGGGCTCCTAGGAGCCAAAGCACAGACAGCCACTGCAGCCAAAATGCCTCCTTGGGCCATTCGCTGACATGCACAATTTCCAGGGAGGTTATTTTACCTGTTTTCTGGTCCTCGTCTTCCCTGTCCTGAGTTTGATGTATCTGGCTATCAATTCATTCCTACCTGCAAGAAAGAAGAATTTACAATAAGGTGGATCACAAACATTTTTAAAATGCCTCTGCAAGCTACGGATATAATTCAGAATCTGTTGCAGCTGTAAGTTTATTAAGGCTAGGACAATAAAACAGTGCCATTGTTGTTTGCAAAAATACTTACTAGGAGAAAATAAGATGGGGGACATTAATTCTGAACTACAATCGGCAATTGAGGATAGAAATTTGCTTTTTAAAAGCGTGCCTTTTTGTATCCTTGCATGCTTGCATCTAAATGGGTGGTCACTTGTGTAAGCAACAAATACAAGCATTAGTGTGGGAATCCTAATTCCTAATCCTAATCCATCTGTTTAGTCTTATTTTTCATATCCATTCCTCCTCATCCAGGTTTCTACTTGTAGTTACCACTAGTTAGAGTGATTATAGCCACAAGAGAACGAGCTGCTGTGGCTACAGAAACCCTACAATGGTAAGTGAATAGTATGAAAACAGACACCTCCTAAAATTAGTCACTGCATTAATACCTACACACAAGATTGTATCTGTGAAAAAGAATGACTCAACCTCCTCAAGGCTTTATAATCTTTTTTTGGGGGGGGGGATGGAAGGAAGGGGGAGAAAGTGTCTAAAAGTATACCCCAAAACTTTCCATCAGTACCCCGCCAGGAGAGAGAAGTTCCAAACAGATTATGTGACTTCAAAGAACTATAACAGGAAAGTATAGCCCCACAGCTGAGTGAGGAAATGTAATACTATATGACATAAAAACCCACTCTTACAAGGCATGGGTTCAAACTGTAACTATAATCGTAACTGTATAGCTAGTTGTATAATTTGTGCTTGCTGTCTTACTTCCCCAGACATACTCCCTGAAGAGAGCAAGAACTTGGTCTTACTCCCCAAGCTTGGCTCCTATTGAAAGAACAAACAAGGAAGTAACACAGTCTCTGCTGAAAGACAGTGGCCACGTCCACCCCGCCCCTGGCAGAGGAAAAAATCGGCAGCACTAATGAAGACCAACGTGAGAGTGTCCTTGTGGAAATCCTGTCTAAGAATCCTAAATACTGTCCCATCATTGTCTAGAACATTCCTATAAGCACGGTTCTGTCTACCCTCTGTGTGTGCTAGGACCTTGCAATGCACTGTCAGCCCTAGAAGACAAAGGAACCGTGGAGGCTTGGGGCTGGAAAGTGTCTATGGGTCATCCACTCTCACTCTTTGAAGTCTAAATCCTTATTAGCTGAAGCCAGCACTTCTAGAATTCAGGAAGCGGTCCATTTCATCTTAAAACATTTAAGATTAAAAGGACCCTCCTTATCTGTGGCCTCTTGTGACTTTCTTCCTCAGGTTCTTCTTGTTCCTCTTCATAAGAATCAAGGCTAGCCACTGATGCACATGACTAACTTTCAGATACTAATGACAGCTTTCAGATCCTCCTGGAGTTGTGTCCAGGCCAAGCCTCCCCTGCTCCTTTGTTATCTGTGACAAGCTTTGGAGCACTCCCCCAACACATCCTGTGACCATCCTTTGTCTATTTTCCTTGCAAAGCCTGAAGCCCAGAACTGCAGGGATGCTTCTGCTGGGACAGCTCCACAGTAGAGTGGGTACATCACCTTACTGGTCCTAAATACTCCACCTGCTCATGCAGCACTGCCTCTGATTTGGGGGGACAACAATAAACTGCCAACATGCGTCAATTTTAACTCCTATGTTCTTTTCATATCTGTGCCTAGTCCTTTTAAGCATAGTTAGAATTTTCAAATCCAAATCCAAACTGACATTTGTATTTCATCCCATTAGATTAAGCCTGTCATTCCAGCCTGTTGGGATCTTTTCAGATCCTGATTCTATAACTTGAACTCACCCTTCAAATGCAGAAAAAGAACCTGAAAATTCAGTTTTGAGGATTGCTTTTCTAAGGATTCCCTTTCAAACTTTTTGAGAACTACCAATATCTCCTTGTAGTGTCATCAGGTCTACTTCTCCATCTCTCAGATGGTTGTACAAATTTTGCAATTTGTCTCAAAGGCTTGCAGACAGCAGGGCCCAGCTAGGAGTGCCTAATTACCAGAAGCCAGACCTAAATGACAATGTCTGCGAACGAGCCAAGCATGGTCCAGCTCGGGGCCTCACTGTGCACCCTTTTCAATTTTATCTGAACCTTATCTAGATGGCAAAAATGTCTCCTGCCTCACACAGCATATTCTCTGTGAAAGTAGACAGAATTACTTGTTACATGTAATACATCACCTACACAACTAACTTTTAATTTCTTATGGCACTTGGTTGAATGAATGAGGTCAATATCTAGGATGACCACATTTGTGTAGACCCTGTAGTCTACACAAATGGCACCCCTTTGAGTTAAACAATATCAACTCATATGTTGATTACAATTCTTCTAAAAATTGGTACTTCTCCAATAGGCGCTCACTGTGTATTTACGGTGCAGAGCACTATGCTACCGTCATCATTTCACTGAACACCTGTCACAACTCACGTCCCTATGCTTTATAAGATGACCCTTTAAACTATGTGTTTCTTTTAGACCATATTTCAAGCCATAAAGAGTAATTAACTTGAGGTTCTTATGTGTTTCTTCTTGCCTCCTTAAGGAATATCACTGATTCAATTTTTCTTTTTCCTAGAAAGAGACTTTTATTTTATTTTTATAATTTTTAAAAATATATTTTTATTGATTTCAGAGAGGAAGGGAGAGGAAAAGAGAGAGAATTAACAATGATGAGAATCATTGAGCAGCTGCTTCCTGCATACCCCCTACTGGAGGATCAGGCCCACAACCCAGGCATGTGCCCTGACCTGGAATCAAATAGTGACCTCCTGATTCATGGATTGATGCTCAACCCCTGAGCAACTCTAACTCGGCTATTTTTACAACTTTAAAAATTCAACTAATATGAAGCATCTATTGTGATCGAAGCAGTGTTAATCATTTATTTCATATGATTTTTTTTTTAATGACCATCAGGGTGGCTTTGTGCACAGAAAAACACTTTTTAGGTTTACTTGTTAATTAAACCTTAACTAATTAAGGTTTCATTTGCTTAGTTTTTTTTTTTAAGAAAAACTTTTAATACCTAATTCATTCTGAAATTGTAAGTTCAACTCATATATTACAATTTTTATAATCACTTTCAAAGGTCCATTTGAATAATGGATGGCCATTTTTACAAACCTAAACCCCTTTAAACATTTAAAACTGTATTGAATTTATATTGTATTTAATTCTTTTCAATATTAGAACTATGTGATTCAACTTACAAAACCTTTCCTTAAACAACTCTTAAAAATTTAATAAGTTATCCTAAATAAATACTCTAATATTGCTTACAAATCTAGTAAGACCTCAATCCTCCCTCAAATCAAGTCTAAATTAATTACTCCTTGGCACATTTTAATTTAGCAATACAGGTTATCCTGTTAAATGAGCCAATTTATTTTATTTTTGGGGCAATTATTTTAAATAATTTCTTGAAATATCAAATATGCATACATCCTTTAAGTAAAAATACTAATACTATAGCTTTGATTCTATTAACATCGTTTACTTTTATTTCTAAATCTTCCCATAATTAAAATATGCTCACGTTTTAGGAAACAAGTATGCCATTCCAAATGACTTTGGAATATTTTTTTTGGCTGCTTGGGGTTGTACATATTTTGGGGAAATCAACTAGGTTCCAAATGGATTCTTGTCAGTGACCCTGATAAGACATCCTGAGACCTATTTTTCTTTCTATAGCCTGACCCTCTAAAGGGAATGGATTCATACAGTCCAGAGCTCTGGATTTGAATCATGGTACTAAGTTATAGAATTCCCTTACCAAGGATAGGGAGCTCAGCAGCACCAGCCACCATGGGTGTAACTGGCAATGGGTCTCTGGTCCACACAGCACCGTCTTATTTGAAGCCATCATCAGGATGTTGGGAATTGGAAATGTGAACCCTCATTTCTCATTTCTCTCTCTCTTCTAAATACACACACACACACACACACACACACACACTCACACACATACACGGTGGTGCTTTATCCAGTGAACCTTACATTGCAAAAATGAATTTCAATAAAGTTAACTTTAAAGTTAATCATGATATTCCTAAACTAATCTTACAGTCATGTGAGGACCATCTACTTTGTGCCTATGATGCCTGTCTGATGCATCAGGGATATAAAGAGAGGACTGCCTGCCTGCCAAGAATTCACTGTCCACACAAGGGCTAAGATATAAGAGCAAATCAGCTCTACACGTCAGATGACAACTATTGCCACAAAAGAGGTTCTAGTAGCGTGCATGGTATTTGGCCACAAATAACTCAAGAAATCTAGAAAGCCTTCCCCAAAGTGGCGGGCCATAAATTAGGCCTTTAAGGATAGTTTACATTTTCCCCAACACTTTATTATGAAAAATTTCATACATGCAGAATTTTTTTTTTACAGAATGAATTTTACAGTGATCACTATATAGCCACTACCTAGAATCTACCACTCACTTTTTCTATACCTGCTTTATCACATCTTTCCTATCTCTACATTCCTCTATTTATTTTACCAAGCCATCTTATTTTATTGATGTTGCTACTGCATTTCAAAATAAATGGCAGGCATAACACTTTCCCCCTAAATTCTTCAGCATGAATATCACTAATTAGAGTGACAAGACTGATTTTGACAGGTAAAATGGAGGGGAACAGGTAAAGACCATTTCAGACAGTGGAAGCACCATTTCTTTAAATACATAAGCTGGAAACTGGGACATAAAACACACACACACACACACACACACAAGCCCACTCACAACACATGTCAGCTACCCCTCAAGCTCTCTGACCAGGCACTCTCATTCTGAGCTCAAGAGCCACAGGTCCTGCACTCATAGCACCCACAGCATCCAGGACTCATCTCCTATAAATCCGTAATAGCTTATAGAGCTGAGTGGCAATGTTGCACTTCACCACTCAGTGTCATTATAGTGCTGGTTCTCCGAA